TAAATGAAATAAGTCTTTCCTGAGTCGATAGAGGTATCTAAAAAGTGATAACAAGTTTTTAGGTTTTTAATGGTGAATTTTCACTAAAAACTGTCTAAATCATAAAAAATTCTTGCAAAAGTTTTGGTTTATAAGCCTAAAAGTGTCGCAGTGAGTAGACAACATCTATTTTCAACTGTGGTGAAAATTTCCGACTCCTAGCTGATCGTGGTCGTGAGCTGTTAATTAATTATTGTCAATGGCATTTTTATTAATTAACTCATATCTCCGTCAAAAAGGCGCATGGACCCAAACCAACTTGGGGTTTTTCACTACTGACTATTCCCTACATGATGAAAGTAGTCTGAGTCGAAAAGCTTTTAATCACCTCGAGAGGTTCCCTCTCTAGTTCATTACAGTGTTAAAGTGAAATGGTGTATTACTCGTTATTCTCTCCTTGTACATACCACTTTAAAGAGAAATGTTTGCTCTAAAATTCTGTATAGTCGAAATACCAGTTTATAAATAGTAATAGTGCAGTAATTATTGTTTTGAATGCATTACAGAAGTGAACTACCTACACGAAATGATTGTCCTCGTAGGACGGGTTATTGGCAACTTATTCGGTCAAATTCTTGTATTAATATAACAATCTATTCCATTGAAACTTTTATAATTAATTTGCACTAATTATAAAAAGTCTCATATTAAATTAATTTTAAATTAATTTTTTTCAGATTAAAAATTAATTTGATCTTTGATTCAATAGTATTGCCAAAACTACAATCAAATCTCTCATGGCTCGTTGATTTTTCATTGTACTATAATTTTTAATTATCTACAGTATGATCTGATGCAGCGGTGAACAACACTTACTGTTGACAAACGTAACATTATATTTCATCTCGAGAAAAAACATTAAACAATAGTAAATATTATTGAAATTCGTAGATTGATCTTTTATATGTGTAGCAGAGTTCAAAATAGAAAAATAAGTCTTTTTTCCACCTAAATGATTTTCTAATCTGAAAATTTCCACTCTCTTCTTCATATTTTAATTCATATTTTGTCACCTTTTTTTTATTATCCAGAGGGAAAAATGTTATAAATATTAAATGCAAAAAAATCAGCTATAATAAAACTAGAAATAACGAGCGATGACTCAAAGAATACTTTTTTTCCTAAAAGTACAAAAACTTTTCAGATATATCTATCAGTCATATAAAAATGATAAAAATAAAGAATACAACAAATCAGAAGAAATAATGCATAACCGCGATAGCTAGCACGTGTTTTACAAAAAAACCTATAAATAACAATCAAAAGTTCAATTTGTTCTCCAGTGAAATCACGATATAAAATAAGAAAAAACAATAACGGATACATAGATAGATGTTGTTGTTGTTTTTTTTTTGAAGAAATGAAGGATAAAAAATTGATTTTGAAAAAAACATTTCGTAAAACTGACAAAAATTATTATTAAATTAATTATATCTGACATTAAGAGCACCGTTGAACTTTTAACATTCTATTAATCTGTTTGTTGAATAACATTTAATGTTTGTACAAAAATAGGATCCAAATGTTTTTTCATTTTTAATGCGCATACATCTAATGTATCAGCTAAATCACACTTATCTTGTCGACGATAAGTTAATGATAAATTTTTTAATATCATTGTTATTAAATTATGTGGTAATTCTTGTACAATACTATATGCTAATATATTTTTATATATTTTTTCAGCTTCTTTATATTGTTTAGTATCTTTTAGATAAATTGAAGCTAAATTATTTTTTGTTTTAATAACGCTTAAATTATGTTCACCTAATTGTTTTGTTAAAATATCAATCGAACGTTTATAATATAATTCAGCATCATCATATTTGTCTAAATTTTTACATAATAAAGCTAAATTATTCAATAATTTTGATATTTCAACATGATCACATCCATAATGTTGTTCTTTTATTGCTAATGAACGTTTACATAAACTTTCTGAAAAATAAAAATGAAAATATGTGATTTTATATCGAGTTTGATCAATGTAGTTATAAAAAAAACAGAGGAAACAACACATCATTTGAAATTCTTATCCATTTCGAATTAAAAGGCATATCAATGCTTTTTTAATAACGTTTGAGAGAAAGGAGATAGAGATACATCATTGTATAGGAAAATATTTTAAAAATCCTTCGCGAAGGTTAGTTTTGGAAGGGTCTTATATCGATGTTGACTAAGTTATAATTTTTTCAAATTTTCGATGAAAATCGCTAAAAATGAGCTATTTCACCTAATATTGATGTTCACTAGGTTTTGGAATTTTTTTAAAAACATACATTGTCGCCGTTAACCTACGTCTTCTCTCATACTCGAGATTCCTACAGCTAAAGAAATATGGATCCTAGTGCTCTCACATAATCTATGAAAAACTAAGAGAGTTCTCATTTTGAAGAAGACATTCTGGCCTATCTGTCCATGAAAGAAAACGAAAATATGTGTATGACCACTTACCGATTTTCTAACGATTCCTTCCGAAACCGATTTCCTTCCAAAAGAATTTGGAAAATTTTCTTCCATAGAATGATATGTTCCTGTTCTAACTGTCAGATGGTGAAAACCGACTGTTTTTATTCTCTTTCTTTCAAACGTTGTTAAAAAACCCAGTTACGTATCTTTTAATTCAAAGTTAATATAAAAAGATGGTAACTTTTATGCTTTCAAAAGCGAAAAAGGAGGAATTCTTACCTGCTTCTTTAAATTTCTGCCTTTTACTAAATAAAACAGCTAAATTATTTAATGTTTGTGCCACTAATAAATGTTCGTTTCCATATAGTTTTATTCTTATTGATAAAACATCTTCGAGTAGCGATACTGCTTCTTGATAGTTTGACTGATCGTGATAAACAAAGGCTAATGTTGTCAACATTGTTGCCACATTTTCATGATACTAGAAAGAGAATTGAAAGAAAAAACATGACTAGTTACTTAAACAACAAAAGTAAGATTGATACCGCACACTACTGATGATACTAAGGAGGAGAAGACAGGTATCCTTCATAGATCTTCCTTAATTAGACTTACAGAAATCTTAGAGTTGAAATCACTCGACACTTCCAAATTATAATATTTTACTTTTAAAATACCAACAGTAGTTCCACTCTTCCTTTCTTTTTTTTTCAAACAGTGTTCAGTATATTTATAAAAATATCCATATCAGGTCATAAATCCTTAATTTCCATACAGAAAGTTCGATAGAATTAAATGATTTTTGAAAAAAATTCATAATAAATGATGTATCTAGTCGTAGTGTTATACTTTTTTCGTTCATATTTAAAATCGACTACTATTCTTTCCTTTTTCACGTCGAGTTATCCATGTATAGCAAATGTTTAGAACTAACAAACAAATGTTCACAGAGATAGAAAAAAAAACATTTTAGGTTCATTTTTTGTGACAATCGCATACAGAAACGTAGAATTTGTTTATATCTGTGAGAAACTTGTTTGTTAATTCTACCAGTTTTTATAAGATGTTTCTTTACGAACTAACGCTGTCAGACTGAGTTCAGTTCGGAGTTTATGTTAGTGTTCAAAGCACTGCTTTCTCTAAGAAAGATCAATACGTTAGAAAAGTTATTAAATTTCTTTGTAATCAGCATGAAAAATAACGTTAGAAAAAGTATGTTTCACTGATATTTGGGGTAGATTACTTTGGAGTGTTTCGTCACAAGTCGACTCCATAGAGTGATGAATAGAACTGTTGCTGTTCATATTTACTTTTGAACTACTTAGTCCAAAAGTAACTGTGTTTGTTTTTAAATACTTCTTAAGATCTGTTCTCCCGATCACATGACTTTTTGCTTTGTTTCTAATCTTTTCCTAATTTTGCCATACTCTAAACAATTTCTTTTTTACTTAATTCGAAAGTACACACAATCGTTCTTACATGTCCAACTGTTCTTTCCAAATCTTGAATTGTTTGTTTACATAATGGTATGGCCACTTCATAACGTTGTTTTGATGCATATTGTAGTACGAGTGATCGAATGGTCTGTGCTCTAGATGGAACAAATTCGTCAGAAAGCGAGCTTGGTGAGATTGCTGATTCTGATGTGATCATCGACACATCAGCCAACGGATAATTATCATCATCAGTAGCCGGTGTCGATGATGGAAATAAATCGTTTACATCTTCATCTTCTAATGATTCAACACTTGTGTCATATTTATTGACATCATGTAAAAATTTCAAATGTTCTATTTCCACTATATGTTCACTATTCATTTGTTCATATGTCGATAGATTCTTAGTTGTTCGTTTTAATTCATCTCTAAGAAATGAATTTTCTTTATATAATCGTTTTACTTCTTTTTGTAATTGATGTTTTTCCATTTCAAATTTTTGTAAATAATCACTAAATTCCATCATTAAACGTGCTTCATCGATACTCAACTCAATAAGTTCCATAGATTTACTCGAGATAACTGATTGTTCAGACGAAGCTGATGTAAATGTAACATTATTTTTTATTGCATCCAAATCTTTTAGTAAACATTTTGTCGATTGCAAAAGATTGTTTTCAGCCATACTTGAATAATCTATTGCTTCTAAAAACAAAATATAGATGTGTACAGTCGGTAAAAAATAATGGAAATTGAATTCAAAAAGTCGAAGTTAACATTTGTCAGTTTTTATCGGGTAATCATAGAGCTGAATACTGAAGTTATTTTTTCCTATAATAACGATTTTTTTTATCTCAATTGAAACAATAGGAAAACAAAAACTACAGAATTTACTCAAAAATTGGTAAAAATAGAACAGTTAATTATTTTTGAAAACTTAAATGAATTAAAAACATTGAAAATAATATCAGTAACAAATTACTATTCGTTGCACTATTTATTGACGAAAAAATTATTATGAGCTTAAACTTGAAAGATAAAATATTATCTTCCATCCTAACAAGCTGGATGCGCTGAGTCGTGTCTTCGGAATAGCTCCATTAGACATTCGGCATCAAATTTTTCTATTTCTTCTATTCTTTCTAAACTAGATTATTGTTGCGCCTTGCATGATAGTTCGTTTTCTCTTACTATTTTTGATTCTGTAAACAAACTTGCTTCTCGTGTTATTTCTCGAAATTTTGATTATCATTCTTCTAGGTCTTTACTTGTCTCTCAACTGTCTCTGCCAAATCTCTCTGTCACTTCGTCGTAGATATTTTCGACTGGTACAGTTTTTCAAGATTTATCATCGTCTTAACCCTCTTTTTTTTTTATAATGTTCGTTGTCCTTATTCGTCTTCCTTACGTTATCATCATTCCAAATATGGATATGGAATAATTCTCCAAAATCGGTTATTTGTTATTCTTCCTTATTGTCATTTAAAAATAGCTTTATCTTAGCATCTTTACAGTAGAACATAACCATATTTACAGTTAAAAATAGACTCAATGATATTACTCTTATTTTATTTTCTTGTTTTTATTCTTTCCTTTCTATATCTACACTCGTTTACTTTTATATTTTTTTGTTTATAGATTCTTTTTGTTGTTGTTTGGCTCCAGTCATTATTAGCCCGGGAAAAGTGGCGTGAGAGAAAAAATACCCCATACTTTTATTTTTTGTTTTATTTTTTGTGTTCAGATCGGTACATCACCTCTGACATTGGTATGTACTGTCATCAGACGGCCCGTACCGAGTGGATAACTCGCCAGGCGAAGTTGTAAAGAGACTGATTGAGCCAATAAGTGGTACAGGGCGGAACATCACTATGGATAACTGGTTCTGCAGTGCATCGCTTGCTGAAGAACTTTGGAAAGATCACAAACTGACCATTGTTGGAATCCTCAGAAAAAATAAGACTCCAGAGTTTTTCTCACGCCACCTTTCCCGGGTTAGTATAGATCGTGAACTTTTGCTGACTCTCACTTTTCATGAAGAAACCATACATTCATTCACAACATAGATTATACCTGAAACTATGTATAAGACGAGTAATTTTGTGGAACTCCCTCACTATCTTCGAAGAAGAGTGAGTAACAATTTTATACCCCAAAACCGCTGTTTTTAACATAAATTTGACCCCTCTCTCCCCTGGAGGACATAACCTGTTAAAATACCACATACAACCTCTTAAAAAGGTGCACACAACCTCTTAACGTGGTAGTCGCAACCTCTTAGAAAAATATGTTAGACGAAATTCCAAAAAAAACATTCATGTACTCCAGCTTACAGCCAAAGATAAATATTTCGTTAAAAAAAACATTTCATCCATGCTCTTTAAATTTCATTAGTATATTAAACAATTATTTCAGTTTAGAACTAATTTTTTTTAAAGACTAGACGTCTTAGTATTGGGAGTTCCACCTTTTAGCACCTTTAGGTGGAACTTCCAACCTCCAACTGCCAAGATTTCTGTTAGAGAAAAAAGTTTTTCTAAAAAATAGTCTATCTTGGTTCATCTTAGTTATGTATTTTGAAAAAACTTGTTTTATTTAACTGATCATTAGATTAGCAAGTAATATTATCAAAGACGAAAGAGTTAATTGCAAAACAAAATGCAACATCTATCTTACAAAATAAAAGTACACACTGTGGCCGTATCTCGATGTAAAACAGATAGCTAATATTCGTAAGAATTTGCGACATTCATCTAACGCGAAAAGCAAGAGTTTACGTAATTCTTTTGTTCAAGATTAACACTTAACAAAAAGAATAAAAATCTGCTCGGCAAACAAACTTTTGTGCACCGGAAAGAAAATTGAATAAAACGAGAAAGTAATTTTTAATTTTTCAGCGTCTTAAAGCTAAAAATTCATATACAACATGATACCATCTGGAGTGTATTCAAATAAAACCAGCTTTATATCAGTATCAGTATCTCTTCGGTGAAACATTTGTCAGTTAAGAATTTATATTTGTTCTTTTTTTACTACTTCTGGTTCTAACCTTAGTTGTCTTATTTATTTTGTTCTTTTTTATTACTCTTTTTGTGCTGTTTGGCTTGAGTCATTTATTACAGGTCAGTGACCTCTGATGACTCTCTCACTTTTCATGAATAAAACAGTCTTAGTCTTAGTCTTAGTCTTAGTCTTATAAATAAAGAGAGATAATCGACTTGTTTGGTTTTTGTAAACAACTGACAGAACTCAAAATATATCTCATTCGACGTAGAGAATGTAAAAGACAAATCAAAGACATGTCATGATCTAAAAGGTAGAGAGCATTGGCTTGTAAGTTGCCATACTTCTAGCCAAAGTTAAGGAAATTTCCAAATGCGCTAACGCAAGATATCTGACGTTCAAAATGGTAAGTATGTGACTTTATAACGGAACAAGAAAGCTGTGACAGCAGAAAAAGTGCCTCCCATTGACGCCACGGCAAACACGTTTCAGCAGTTGCTGAAGACGTTAAACCCTACACCATAAGAAAAACGTGATGTTGCAAAAAAAGAACATTTTTATGTTTATTGTGTTAAAAACCTTCGATTGGCTCACATAGCTGTCCAATAAAAACTTCGAAAATGTGCCCTTATGCATAGGTTGAGACGTGTTAAAAATTTAGAAAAAAATTGAGGAAATTAATTTAGTTGAGCCAATGGATCAGTTTTTAAGCGTTCAGATTTATTGTTTCACTAGGATTCCGTTATTTGTCCCCCACTCACTCCGAACGCACTTATATTTCAAAGAGTTTTTCATAAGAGAGTTTTGCGTGGGACATAAAGGTATTTAACCATCCGGTCACTTCTGGTATCAAAAACGAGCATTGGTCAAAGTGGGTCTAGAGTGCGTTACGTTCTATTTGTCATTTATAGATAGCATATGGCATCAAGTGCACAATAATAAAAATTTATTTAAAAAAGTTAAAAAACCTTCAGTTTTATTTAGTTTTAAATGTTATTTTTACTTATAAGTGAAAAGTCAAAGCATTTTCATTTCTCTAATTTGGCAACCTTTTTACTGTCGATGTCTGTTTTAGAAAATTAATATTTGATTCTATCGTAAAATTTGAAAGTTAGGTATCAGCTAAAGGAAACTATACATCTTATCAGAGGATTAATATAATTGTATTCACAGTGCACAGTACATGGGAAAAAAGGAAAACGAAAAGAAAAAGTAAATACATTTGGCCTTGTCTCAAATATTAACTAAAATACATTTATAACAACGTAACTGATCCCAGTACCTTTTCTACACTCTTTACGTTGATAGAAAGAGTGATCACGCTTCTTTTTACTGTTCATGCATCAATGCATACAAAAGTGCAACGATAGAGAAAATTAATACAAAATATATTTCTTCTGACGTCATATAAACTACTAATTTTTATTCCCTTGAACTTTTCTTCGTTTTACAATATCCACCTTTTTATTTTTGCTTAGATAAAAAATGATTGAACCATTTTGAGCTTTTTCTTCGAAAAACAACAGAAAAACAAAAAATATTTAAAAAAAGTTAATAGAGAATATGGTAAGAAATTTTTTAGGAGATAATTGACAAGTATGTGTGAGCAGTTGGTTTGACTGAATTACTTCGGTACGAACCGCTCTTGTTACGTTTGCCTATTTTTTTTTCTCTAGTCAGATAGGACCAAGACGGTGGAAGAGACTTTTTCATCCCGTCAGTTCTAAGAAGGATTTCACTCGTTTCATCCTTTTCCTTAGATTTTCTCACCACTGAAATACCATCTGTCTATAGAGCTTATCTCCCTTCCATATCAGCAGTGCCTTCTGCTAAATCACAAAAAGAATCAAATATTTTTTATTTTAAAGATTTACTCTAGTGAATGTACTTGAGCCAAGTACTTGGATTAATTAATGAGGACAGTACTTGTGAACTTTTACAAGTAAATTTACTTGAGAATGAATCTTGAAGTACTTGAGAAAGTACTTCACAAGTAAAATGTAAGTACTTGGCTGACACAGTGCAAGTAAATTTACTTGAAAAAGTTCAGTTCAGTACTTGTTTCATTTATTCTTATTTTGTATTTTACACATATTCTGGAGTTATGCTCTACTTTTGTGGATCAAATAGAGTCAGATGGGGTAATACCAGCCACTTGCACAAAGTTTCTTAGTATTTTGCGTATTTCTAAGGCGTTTTTAATCGGATAAGCGTGCTATTGAATATGAAGATGGAACTAACAGTTCTCTATCCG